AAAAAATTCCGAGAATTCGTCGGTGTGATTACGATTGAAATGCGATTTTGTTTTTCTTTTTTATCACACAGTTATGTTTTCAGGGTTTTGCATCGAGTTTGTTTGGCCCTATAAAAGGACGGTATGTGTGATTTTGAGAAGATGAAACAAGTGTTGCATGGTTTCACATATTTGTATGAAACATCTGGAAAGTATGGTACGGCGCATAAGCATCTGGTGCAGCTCATCACCACACTCGGAATTATGCAGGTTTGAGTTGATTTTTTTTCGGAGGTAACCCAGGCAATCCTGAATTTCTCTTGAAATTTTTTTTTTTTCTTTTTGAAAATTTGTCCATTTGTGCCATTTCAGTCTCATCTGTTTTGCTTGCGATTCATTCAGTTCGTCAAAGCTTACCAGCCTCAAGTTGAAAAAGGTCTGTTTTCGTATGTTGTTATTCAAAGAAGCTAGAATAATTTTTTCTTTTTTTAAACAAAAAGCTTGCAGGAAAGATTAGAATTTTTCTCGACTTGATTGCTAGTGGAAGACTTCCGCCAGTAACTCTCTCAATACTAAGCTTACCAGAAACGAAGCTACAAGCATAGAAAGCTTCCTCGGTCATCCGTGTCTGTTCGTACTTACTTGATGTCGTGAAAAATCCCGAAAAGAGAAGCCATCACATAGAAAAAAAGAAGAAAGGTGTGTCTTGCCTTGAAGAGCAGATACACAGTAAGTGTGCTGCCAAGCGGAACATGAAGAGCAATGAATGACCGGTGGTGTAGTGGTAACATGTTCAGTTCGGACGTGAAGTGGAGTGGTTCGATTCCTTCCCGGTCCGGAACAATTTTCGAAAAAGGCCCCTGTTCATGACAGTTGATACAGTTATTGCAAGGTGATTTTTGCAAAATATACCTTTTTGAGAAACTGCCAATATGCCTAAAATACCTGAAACTGCTGTAATTCATGGTATAGTTCTAATAGCTATGCAGTCTGCAATTTTTCCGTCCACTACGGTCTTGCGCATTGCGCTTTTAAACTTTTTTACAAACATTTTAATCAATTCAGATGTTGGTAGCTTTCTTGCTGTACTTTCATCACATCCTACATGCCATTTAGCTATTCGTCTCGTCTATCGATTGTCTACCTCGCTACAATGAAAGTTCCTCGTCCACATAGAAATTAATGAGTTCAGACCAGTCTCCAGGTGTGCGTCGTTCCCAGGTACTGGCCCCGTGAAAGTTTTTTTGCGGGTAAATTGCTAACTCGGGAACCAGAGAAACCAGAAAGCTGAAATTTTAGGCTTGTCTCTTTTTTTGGTGGCATACATTGACTCTAATAACAGCCAATTTCTGATACTGTCTTTTGTACTTTTATTTGAGATCTGTGCGACTGTTAGCTGATTTTCCATTGCAAAAGTGGTATTCATGAAAAAAGAATTGGTGCACATTTTTCATAAATTAAAAATAACTTTCACTTTTTTTCTTTCAGATGAACAAATTTGCATTACTGAAAAATTGCCCGAAAAACGAGAAAAAGACCTAATTGCAAGTTTAATCAAGACGATTAACATAGCCTTGGCTCCGATCGATCTTCGATTATTGCAAGTGGATGATGAATATGATGACGATAACGATTATGTCGTTCTGGTAAATTATTATCATTCGTTCTATGATCAAAGATTGAAGTCTTGAACCTCTATCGGTCCTCTACTTCCCTCCATAAGTCTATAGGGCTGATATTAGTCTAAGACATGTGACTTGGATTAGTAAAAGACAAAATTGGGGACTTACAACTGTAAAACGAAACAAAGTAGGGAGAATTGTCTACAAAATTATTGCTTCTTTCCTTTATGCTCCTCCCCCAATGTCTTCTATCGCTATTTTTGTGCATTTTGATTTTTATCCTTTTTGATTTTAGTTTTTTTTCAGAATCGAATTTTTCAAGGCAGGTGAAGCAAAACCGTGGCCGACTTAAACAAAAATTAGCTGGTGGTGATGTGACAAGAAATTTTCAAAAATACGATTGCAAAAAAAAGTCATCGAAATTACCTGTTTTTTTTTTGTGCAGATGCCTGCCGTGAATGGAGCCCTTTTCAAAAATCGTCCTGCACCAGGAGGGAATTGAACCACTCCTCTTCACATCCGGACACAATGTGTTACCACTAAACCACCAGGTTCTTGTCCTTAAGGGTCAGCCTGGCGGCACATCTACTGTGTATCTGCTTTTCAAGAAAAAGGCAGTTTTCTTTTTTTTTTCTTTGTGGTGGCTTTTTGTCCGGCGTTTCGCAGGTTTTTCGAGGAAGTCCATAAAGAACAGATGTTGATTCGTAGTCTGTTTGTCGATCGATGCAGCTGATAATCGTTTTTCCAGTTGTTTAGGTCAAATTGTTAGTGATTCTGACGTTTGTTTGCCTTCATGCTACTACCATTAGAAATATTTTGCATGGCTTTATCCGTTTTAAGATTTCTTTTGTCTATGTTTAAACATCTTGTCGTGACAGTTGCCGAAGGTAGGATAAAATAAGGTATTTTACCAGTAGGGGGTTCGTGTTGGCTGTTGAAAAATTTGCAGTAAACAGGTAACTAATTTACAAGCTTAAGAATTAACAAGTTAACCAGGAAATCAATGTAAAGAGTAAACTGAAAAACTGAAATTTCCTCTTTTTTTTTGTCTTTTTTTTTCAGATCAACGACCATCAGGAGAGTGATCTGTTGCGAGAAGCTTCCGGATTCACAACGACCGATTTCTCACTATTCCATTTGTGGATAAACGCTATTTGCAATAGTGATAGTGGTGAAATTTCCAAACATGATGCACTATCAGCTGCATCGGACATGTTAGCCAAGGTTGGC